GTCCCAACACTTCAGCGAAGGGTTCCAACACTTTAGCGAAGTGTCCCAGGACTTTAGAGAAGGGTCCCAATACTTTGGCGAAGGGTCCCAAGACTTTAGCGATGGGTCCCAATACTTTGTCGAAGGGTTCCAACACTTTAGCGAAGGGTCCCATTACTTTAGCGAAGGACCTAAGACTTTGGCGAAGGCTCCCAACACTTTGGCGAAGGGTCCCAACGATAGAGCTATGGGTACAATTACTTGAGCTAAGGTTATCAACACTTTGGAGAAGGGACACGACACCGAGTTAAGGTACGGGAAAATTCTTCAACTGAGTTACAGAAGAGGTACTGGGATAGTGGATAAAATTTCCAAACACTCGAGCTACGGTATTGGATGAGGATAGAGGAGTTCTTTTGGCAATCCTGGGATAGTATTTTAAGGGTCCCAACACTTGAGTCTTGGGATAGCAATTTAAAGGTCCTAACACTTGACACCTGGGATAGCATTTTAAGGGTCCTAACACTTGACTCCTGGGATAGCATTTTAAGGGTCCCAACACTTGAGCTTTGGGATAGCAACTTTAGCGAAGTGTCCCAACACTTGGTCGAACGGTCCCAACCCTTAAGCGAAGGGTCCCAAAACTTTAGTGAAGGTTCCCCACACTTCGGCAAAGGTTCCCAACACTTTGACGAAGGGTCACAAGACTTTAGCGAAGGGTCCCAACGCTTCAGCGAAGGGTCCCAACACTTCAGCGAAGGGTTCCAACACTTTAGCGAAGGGTCCCAGGACTTTAGAGAAGGGTCCCAATACTTTGGCGAATGTTCCCAACTCTTCGGTGAAGGGTCTCAACACTTCAGCGAAGGGTTTCAACACTTTAGCGAAGGGTCCCAAGACTTTAGAGAAGGGTCCCAACACTTTGGCGAAGGGTCCCAAGACTTTAGCGATGGGTCCCAATACTTTGTCGAAGCGTCCCAACACTTTAGCGAAGGGTCCCAACATTTTAGCGAAGGACCCAAGACTTTGGCGAAGGGTCCCAACACTTTGGCGAAGGGTCCCAACACTAGAGATATGGGTCCAATTACTTGAGCTAAGGTTATCAACACTTTGGAGAAGGGACACGACACCGAGTTAAGGTACGGGAAAATTCTTCAACGGAGTTACAGAAGAGGTAATGGGATAGTGGATAAAATTTCCAAACACTAGAGCTACGGTATTGCATGAGGATAGAAGAGTTCTTTTGGCAATCCTGGGATAACATTTTAAGGGTCCCAACATTTGAGTCTTGGGATAGCATTTTGAGGGTCCTAACACTTGACTCCTGGGATAGCTTTATAAGGGTCCTAACACTTGACTCCTGGGATAGCATTTTAAGGGTCCTAACACTTGACTTCTGGGATAGCATTTTAAGCTCCCAACACTTGAGCCTTGGGATAGCAATTTTAGCGAAGGGTCCCAACACTTTAGCGAAGGGTCCCAATACTTCGGCGAAGGGACCCAACACTTCAGCGAAGGGTCCGAACACTTTGGCGAAAGGTCCCAACACTTCGGTGAAGGGTCCCAACACTTTAGCAAAGGGTCACAAGATTTTAGCGAAGGGTCCCAACGCTTCAGCGAAGGGTCCCAACACTTCAGCGAAGTGTTCCAACACTTTAGCGAAGGGTCCCAAGACTTTAGACAAGGGTCCCAACAATTTGGCGAAGGGTCCCAACACTTTAGCGCAGGGTCCCAACACTTTAGCGATGGACCCAAGACCTTGCCGAAGGGTCCCAACACTTTGCCGAAGGGTCCCAACACTAGAATTATGGGTCCAATTACTTGAGCTAAGGTTATCAACACTTCGGAGAAGGGACAGGACACCGAGTTAAGGTACGGAAAAATTCTTCAACGGAGTTACAGAAGAGGTACTGGGATAGTGGATAAAATTTCCAAACACTCGAGCTACGGTATTGCATGAGGATAGAGGAGTTCTTTTGGCAATCCTGGGATAGCATTTTAAGGGTCCCAACACTTGAGTCTTGGGATAGCATTTTGAGGGTCCTAACACTTGACTCCTGGGATAGCATTTTAAGGGTCCTAACACTTGACTTCTGGGATAGCATTTTAAGGGTCCCAACACTTGAGCCTTGGGATAACAACTTTAGCGAAGGGTCCCAACACTTTAGCGAAGGGTCCCAACACTTCGGCGAAGAGTCGGAGGACTTTAGCGATGGGTCCCAACACTTCGGCGAAGGGACCCAACAATTCAGCGAAGGGTCCGAATACTTTGGCGAAAGGTCCCAACACTTCGGCGAAGGTTCCCAACACTAGAGTTATGGGTCCAATTACTTGAGCTAAGGTTATCAACACTTCGGAGAAGGGACAGGACACCGAGTTAAGGTACGGAAGAATTCTTCAACGGAGTTACAGAAGAGGTACTGGGATACTGGATAAAATTTCCAAACACTCGAGCTGCGGTATTGCATGAGGATAGAGGAGTTCTTTTGGCAATCCTGGGATAGCATTTTAAGGGTCCCAACACTTGAGTCTTGGGATAGCATTTTGAGGGTCCTAACACTTGACTCCTGGGATAGCATTTTAAGGGTCCTAACACTTGACTTCTGGGATAGCATTTTAAGGGTCCCAACACTTGAGCCTTGGGATAGCAACTTTAGCGAAGGGTCCCAACACTTTAGCGAAGGGTCCCAACACTTCGGCGAAGGGTCGGAAGACTTTAGCGATGGGACCCAACACTTCGGCGAAGGGACCCAACAATTTAGCGAAGGGTCCGAAAACTTTGGCGAAAGGTCCCAACACTTCGGCGAAGGTTCCCAACACTTCGGTGATGGGTCCCAAAACTTTAGCGAAGGGTCACAAGACTTTAGCGAAGGGTTCCAACGCTTCAGGGAAGGATCCCAACACTTCAGCGAAGAGGGTTCCAACACTTTAGCGAAGGGTTCCAAGACTTTAGAGAAGGGTCCCAACACTTTGGCGAAGGGTCCCAAGACTTTAGCGAAGGGTCCCAATACTTTGTCGAAGGGTCCCAACACTTTAGCGAAGGGTCCCAACACTTTAGCGAAGGATCCCAACACTTTAGCGAAGGACCCAAGATTTTGGCGAAGGGTCCCAACACTTTGGCGAAGGGCCCCAACACTAGAGTTATGGGTCCAATTACTTGAGCTAAGGTTATCAACACTTCGGAGAAGGGACAGGACACCGAGTTAAGGTACGGAAAAATTCTTCAACGGAATTACAGAAGAGGTACTGGGATACTGGATAAAATTTCCAAACACTAGAGCTACGGTATTGCATGAGGATAGAAGAGTTCTTTTGGCAATCCTGGGATAACATTTTAAGGGTCCCAACATTTGAGTCTTGGGATAGCATTTTGAGGGTCCTAACACTTGACTCCTGGGATAGCATTTTAAGGGTCCTAACACTTGACTTCTGGGATAGCATTTTAAGGGTCCCAACACTTGAGCCTTGGGATAGCAACTTTAGCGAAGGGTCCCAACACTTTAGCGAAGGGTCGGAAGACTTTAGCGATGGGACCCAACACTTCGGCGAAGGGACCCAACAATTTAGCGAAGGGTCCCAACACTTCGGCGAAGGGTCGGAAGACTTTAGCGATGGGTCCCAACACTTAAGCGAAGGGACCTAACAATTTAGCGAAGGGTCCGAACACTTTGGCGAAAGGTCCCAACACTTCGGCGAAGGTTCCCAACACTTCGGTGATGGGTCCCAAAACTTTAGCGAAGGGTCACAAGACTTTAGCGAAGGGTTCCAACGCTTCAGGGAAGGGTCCCAACACTTCAGCGTAGAGGGTTCCAACACTTTAGCGACGGGTTCCAAGACTTTAGAGAAGGGTCCCAACACTTTGGCGAAGGGTCCCAAGACTTTAGCGAAGGGTCCCAATACTTTGTCGAAGGGTCCCAACAGTTTAGCGAAGGGCCCCAACACTTTAGCGAAGGGTCCCAACACTTTAGCGAAGGACCCAAGATTTTGGCGAAGGGCCCCAACACTTTGGCGAAGGGCCCCAACACTAGAGCTATGGGCCCAATTACTTGAGCTAAGGTTATCAACACTTCGGAGAAGGGACAGGACACCAAGTTAAAGTACGGGAAAATTCTTCAACGGAGTTACCGAAGAGGTACTGGGATAAGGGATAAAGTTTCCAAACACTCGAGCTACGGTATTGGATGAGGATAGAGGAGTTCTTGTGGCAATCCTGGGATAGCATTTTAAGGGTCCCAACACTTGAGTCTTGGGATAGCTTTTTGAGGGTCCTTACACTTGACTCCTGGGATAGCATTTTAAGGTTCCCAACACTTGAGCCTTGAGATAGCAATTTAAGGGTCCCAACACTTGGTCGAACGGTCCCAACCCTTAAGCGAAGGGTCCCAACACTTTAGCGAAGGTTCCCAACACTTTGGCGAAGGGTCGGAAGACTTTAGCGATGTTTCCAACACTTCGGCGAAGGGTTCCAACATTTTAGCGAAGGATCCCAAGACTTTAGAGAAGGGTCCCAACCTTTTGGCGAAGGGTCCCAAGACTTTAGCGAACGGTCCCAATACTTCGTCGAAGGGTCCCAACACTTCAGCGAAGAGTTCCAACACTTTAGCGAAGGGTCCCAACACTTTAGCGAAGGGTCCCAGCACTTTAGCGAAGGATCCCAAGACTTTGGCGAAGGGTCCCAACACTTTGGCGAAGGGTCCCAACACTAGAGCTATGGGTCCAATTACTTGAGCTAAGGTTATCAACACTTCGGAGAAGGGACACGACACTTGACTTAGGGTTTTTAATTTCCTGGTGCGACTGCTACGATTAGTTTTAAAATCAATTTAGGGGTTTTTTCTTATAGATTTTAAAGTAGGGATTTGTACAAGTTAAAATTGTAAACAAAAGAAAATGGTTTATAAAAAAACATGAAGAAAACGAGAGTGATGCTAATAAAGAGGAAAGGTTAAACAAACCAATCCTCAACGCAGCGGAAGCTAAAAACAATAAACCTCAGAGTAATGAGGAAAAATATTTCAGTCAATATGGTCAATACAAGAAGCACCAAGGAAAAGAAGACCAAAGAGAAACTGCCGGAAGAACCAAATATACCGGTCAAGGAAGTCGATCTCGAGACGCCAGATCATAGCATAGATGGAGCGGAGCGAAAAACGACAGAATCAACACATGCCAAACGTAGGAGAACAAAGAAAAAAGACGATAGAGTTCTCACCAATAGGCAATGGAGACAAGATCACTAACAACACACCGGAAACGATAAAAGACGGTTCACAAACAAAGAGAACATCGTTCACAGAGAAGTTTGCGGCGATGGTCGGAATGAAAACGAGAAAAAGAGGAAGTGACAGCAAGGACTGAAAAAAGCAAAATTTTTGGCACAGTTTCCGCGATACCAACGGAAACAGAACAGGATAAGGAACAAGTCACACGGGGGACAGAGGGTAAACAAGACGAAGTTAATCTGACTGACTTGATGACAAAGTGGGAGCAGATATACAAAAAGCCAAAGTGCGGTGAAGAGGATCGCCAGGAATTAAATTGCGACATAACAAGAGTGAAAACCTAGATAACTACTTTGTCCTGGCAAGGTCCACTGAAGAGAAGCTACAACAGATGTCGGACAAAGTGAATACAACAGATAAGGAGCGAGAGAAACATATCAAGAAAGATATGGAAGAGATGAAGAAACGCTATGATACCGTGAATGGCAAAATGTGGAATCTAGAGACGAGAATGGACAAAATGAGCAAGACCAAGCAGAAAGTTCTTGTGCCATACAATCCAAATTGGATGCACTCTTGAGAAACTCTGTAGCTAATTAAATTTCCGATAGCACTGTATCTGCTTATAATTTTTAAAAAACTTTTCTTCGTTTTTCTAGTCATTTTTCTTCAAAAACGGTTTTCCAATTGAACTATTTTACTATGAATGTCAAGTAAGCCTAAGTTTTATTTTTTCGTTCAGATCTTTTCATCACTACATGCAGGAAAAAACGACACCAATTTGAAAAACTTTCTTTTTGTATTTTTTTAAGAATGTCGTCGGAACTTTCTGTGCTACTTGCACAGTAACCGGCTATCATTGATCTAAATTGCAACGACCTTTATGCTTAACCCTCATAAGTTACCAAGTTTTGGCTTACTGTTGCTGGGCAAACTGAAACCTTCAGCGAATTCTATTGATGCGAAAGAGAATAAACATTTTTCCAATTGCTTTTTTATCATTTGCTGAAAGAGTCTATTGATGAAATTGGATGAAAGTCAATCAACGCTCAAACTTATCTCATTTTCGAATTTTCAAATGAGACCAATTACTCGAGATCGTTGCAAAATATGTTTTTTAATATTTGTAACATGCAAACAGGAATAGAAAACGATCGTTTCGAATGACAATAACCATCTGCTCAATTTCCCAAATTTCGAAAAAACTTACCTGATAAGTAGATCGAAAAAAAAATACATTAGATTTTGCGTATAAAATGGATTAACTTTGGTAAAACCGCCAGCATGCAAAATTTCTCACTTTTCAACTCAACAAAATCTTAGTTTTCCAGAGCTTCTCTCAAATATATCTAAAACTCAAACTAAGTCCTTGATGTAACTTTCTTTTTAACAATTTTTGATCTGCTTAATATAATGTGATTTTGAACTAACACAACCACAATTAATTTAAGTTAAAATCGCATAAGCTAAGCGTAACTTCGCAACACGTGTGATACAACTTAAACATATAATTCCAAACTGGCGAGTAAAAAATGAGACGAAAATAAAAAAACATCGGAAAATTTTTTTAACGTTTATCTCGATTTTGTTACATAGAAAACTTACAGGTAGTAATTTTCAAAACTCGACCCATCCTTCCTTAAATTAGACTGAGCTGACATTAATCAAGTTTTCTGAAAATTTGTGAACACAAATCGAGAATCGCCATCTTCTATATTGGCTTTCCAAAATTTCCCAATAAAAAATCGAATTAATACGTATCGAAAAATACAAGGTCCAACAGGGATTCGAACCCCAGACTTAAGGATCCCACGGCATAAGCGTTACCAGTAAACAAAAGGGCCTCAATTTCCAGTCCATACTAGCATTGGGTCATCTGACATACACATATTGAATTGGCTAAGATATAAAACGCGTTAAGAAGAACGCAGTGAAAATCACTAACTTTTGTTCATTCAATCTAAAAACTGCGATGAAGTTTAGCGTGCTTTTTTTTCGTTCATTTGTTGCCTTTATTTCAGGAGATCATTCAAAAGAACATTGCCAACGTTAAAACACGCGTATTGAGTTTGACCTTCTTCTTGACATGCCTCGTGACCGCGTATCCCTTCAGTCTCCTAATAGGCAAGGCAGACCTGAAAAGATACTTGGTCATGTCTTCATTCCTCACTGCCATTTCACTCACTGCAAGGCAGGTTTTCAACATCCACACTAATATTGCTTGTAGTGGCTTAGCGCGTGTATAGAAAAACTAGAGAAAATCAGAATTATTTTGTTTTGGTGTGAAAACCGAAAAATTGCTGAAGTCGAATTTAGCTTTCCTTAGGTTTTTTTGGTCTCAAAAACAAACAATTTAGATCTAGCTATTACTTTTTTCAAAGTTTAATTTTTCCTAGTGTCAAATTTTTGGCGGTGTTGGTGAAGCTTTAGTTAAATTTTTTCTCAACGAAAAAAGCAATTTTGACCCTTTTCTGTATGTTATAGCCATATGGGAACAAACCATTGTTTGTAATGTTTACGCCTAGCGTTCAAATCAGGTTTGCGCCTACTCATACGCTCAAAACCTCAATTTATCAACCGCACGCTTTTTATATGCAAGTACTTGGTGAGCAAAAAAAAGTATTGTATTTTTTTGAAGAGCGAAAAAAAATGAAGAGAAGAGTGTAAATACTAATTCATTACAAGTGTTTCAAAACGTTGTTAGTGATTTACATCTAGTGATTAGCGATTTTCACATTGTTTCAATTGATGGGATGTCGAAAACCTTCTGCGAGGTGTATTGTGGTGGCTTGTGAATTCGACTACCACAACAGAATCACGTTGTATGTCACCCAGGTTCCCCTTTCAATAGCAGCATGTATGTCCTTAGTGGCCCCGCCTCAAATTTCCCTCCAGTGGTTCCCCAAAACAGAGCGACGCTCGGCAACTGGCTTCGCATTTCTCTCTCTCTACCTTGGGATCACGTACAGCTTCGTGATAGACTGTATTCTCATTTACTGCTTCCAAGGTACCGAGAACTTAATGCGCAAGTTTCGCTACTTTCAGATGACTCAAGCTCTCGTCGCCGCTTTTGTTTTCTACTTGATTCTGGCCCTTTATCCGAATAAACAAAGCGCCTACATTCCGAGCTTCATAACTCTTTCTCAGAGGTTCTCGCTGAAAGCAAGTGTGAATAATCTGAGAAGCAAGCGCAGAATTTGGGTATGTCTCGTCTGTTCTGGAATTATAATTGGAAGCTACATCTTTTTCTTTTACCAGATTTCATGGGTCGTTGACCAGCTAGATTTGTTTGAAGAGCCCGACCAAAATGAAAAAATAAACACAACCGATTTACTTCTATTTGCTCTCGCTGTTTCAGCAGCGATGATTGTTTCTGTGGGTGTCGCATACCTTCTATTTCGATTGAGCGATCGATGTGAGCGACTATTCTTTTTCATTTTATCCATCCTAGTGATTTACACATTTCTGTTCACTCTTCTTCTTCTCTATAGTTATCTACTCTTAGAAGTACTCGATAGATTAGCACTTTTGATATTCTTTCTCTGTTTGGGCTTGGGCGCATCTACGTGTGTAATTGTGTTCACGCCCCTCTTTGCCGAATTTATTTGCGACTTCATGTATCCAGTGCCTGAAGATTTCACGTACGCCATCTTTTTCAGCAGCGTCTTCGTTATTCCCACTATCTTCAGTATTGGCTTTTTTCGAGCCGATGGAAGAGACGACACAGAATTCGCCAAATGGGCCATTTCTATTGTGACTGGATGCGCTATTTTGGGCACATCTGTTTTCGCTTTCTTGAAGAACACTAAAAACACCAGGTATGGCTGGGAGATAGGAGCTCAGAAGCGGGCAGAGCTGACGAATGACGCCAGTAACTTGTAACATTCGTCTACTGCAGTCACACATGAGGCTTAAGAAAAATAGGCCCTATAACCACTGGCTCAAGGGTCAGGGACACTATCTCTTGTGTTTTTCTACCTCAAGAACGGTCGGAGCCAGTTCGGTTCGCTTGTGACATGAGACTACGACCCGTTACAGCTTAAAGGCTACTACTAAAATATCCCCCCACTCTAGAATTAGAAACGTCCCCATACTTAGGTCTCTAGATACCCAAAATACATGAACGCCGTTAAAAACCGGGTTGGAACAATCCGTTAAGTTACTTTTTATTAGACAGTGGAACTTTGATCCATTTCAGATGGATCAACCTAAAACTCGCCTTACCTCAACATAACAATTATAAAACACACTCTAGGAATTTAAATTAAGTACTCACATTGTAGCACGCTCAAGAACCAGGAAGTAAATAAGTCGGTAAACAACTCAAGAATTAATAAAGTAACTAATATGAGTTTAATGTCAGTCAGTTTTACCAACAAGAACAAGTTTTTACTCTAGACTGCAAGTTCTCGTGAACCATTGGGACACTCTAGCTGTCCACCTTTCCACCGAAGGTTCACTCTGGTCCAGTCAATAATAGTATTCCAATCGTAATAATCCAACTCGAGGGAATGCTCTCGTCTCTGTCACAGATGGGACAGCTCTACTCTAGGTTATTATTGCTTTCGAAATTGCGAATAGCAATTTCCCACCAATTTTTCTAGCAACTTTCCCGCGATTGTTACTCAATTGTTCTGAAATTGTTCTAACTTCTTTTTCTGATTTTCAGTTCTCGCGAGAAAATCGTGCATGACAGGTTCCATTCGAAATTTTGAAAAATTAAATTTCACTCCGAAATCAAGTGTTTTTTGCTCCTCTCAAGGTCAAACTTCCAAATATGACCGACTGGCACATACTCCCCGGACTCGAGATCGATGTCCTCATCGCGCGCTGTCTTCTGCCAGTGAGTCCCAGAAAAACCGAGTGTTGCTCAAGATACAGTGCCAGTGGTCATTTACAGAAGTTTGCAGCAGATTTAAGCTTATCTACACCCCAAAATTCACAGCCATTTAAAATTTTCACACTATTGCTAAACAGCAACCAAAATCTGCATACACCTGCACCCTTGAATTTTCGCTTTTCAAGCCAATCATTTTAAAATCTCTTTTGTCCTATTCAATCAGGAAATTGTCATGCAGCATTTCGATTTATATAATAAATATAGTATATTAGTAACAATATTTGCTTTGTTAAAATTTCTTTTTCGTGAATCCAAGTTTCACTCGGATCCACGCTCAAGCCCCCCTTCCCTCTCAAGACTCAAGATCCATCCGATTTGCCCATTCATCTCGTACTCTTCGCATTGGAGGTACTGCATCCTGAAGTGCTAGATGCGGCAAACTGTCTCAACAGTTCCTCTTCATCATCGGAACTAATCACAATCTCCTCCCAAGCCTTCAGCTGTTCATAGGATCGCATCCATTCTCTCTGCTCCTGCAATCTCTTTGCTTGGTTGGGTAGTGCCTTCACCCTAGCTTCTCGGTTCAAGCAAAAGGAGTTGTGCAGGCTCAAGCTCACGTTCTTCGCCAGGTCTTCCTCTAGTATCGACTCCCTCGCTTTGGTATTGTCTCTAGACATCTTACCCACTCTTTTCCATCCTGTCGTGATCGCATTACGATGGGTTAGCAGGGGTCTCTTGAAAGCTTCCGGCCCAATCTCGGCCTGGAACTGTCGATACTCCTTTTGATGTTTTCTCATGTGATCTTTCGTTGTCATGTACAACCAAGACGTCAATGTCGCCCGAAACCATGGAAAGTACCTCAAGCGGCTCCATACGTGCCTGACTTCCGTCGGTATGGCGAATACTTTGCACGCAGTCTCAAACAACTCGAGTCTCCTGCTGTAGTCTATCGCGTATATTGACTCAGCCGTTGGCGTCGTCGCCTCCCGATACTCCGTTATATTCTCTTCTATCCATCTCAGAGCTAACATCGTACTCACTACTAAGAGCGTCACCTTCTGCCGGTGATCCGGTAGTCCGATCGACCGAATCTCTTCCACATCCCACACCAGGCAAAGGTTCTTGTGATCTGGATACCACACCGTTTGTGCCAAACAGTGGCATGGGCATTCCCCATGAGAGATCTCAATGCTCCTGAGATTACGCTCCCCTGAGGCTTCCAAGAGAGGCTCAAGCTCCATCATTTTCTCGTGCATCGTGTCGTTGTCTTCCAGGTTCGGAGTACTTCCCACAGGTTTCCCGATCACGTTTTGTCTCTCGTGATCGCTTGTGTTTTCTCTTTCCAACTTCAGAAGATCTTCTCCCCAGATTTCGCTTAAGTCATCTCTCAATTCTTTTGGTACTGTCCCTTTGATTTTTCTCAACAACTTGTGCGAGTGATGCGACATCCGAGCCAACCTCACGCACTTGGGCACTGAGAAGGCCTTGTCCACCAGTATTCTCTGGCTGGACACTTCCACCATCGCCATGTGTAGCGGGTAGTGACTTCCGCACAAGTTGGCCATCATTGACCCTATCAGCGATTTCGCGTTCAATGGCAAGCCATACGCTTCGCTCAGGGGAAATCCCATTTCCGCCTCAAGACCAACTTTCCAGCTCCGGATGTGTTTTTGAGTCACCTGCAACACCCCGGGCCATGATTCTACGCTCAACGCCGTCACTAAATGATGTTCAGATTCCAGTCTCTCCAGTGCCTGCAGACCACACATTCTCGAGAAGAATCCGAGAGCTGTCGCTATATTCACCGTGGTTCTCGCGTAACATTCCGCTGTTATTTGCACTTCACTTTTCTCCCTTTCTGTGATGTCTTCGAACCAAGTGACCAGGTCTTCTTTTTGAAACGACAGTATTCTGACGCATGACCGTCCATCGCAGATGTGCTCTCCGTTCCCACACGTCGAATCCAGACAGCTACCCGATTCCAATTTCTTTGTTGACCCGGGGTCGCTCGTCCTTTCGCTTGGCTCTTGCATCTGGGGCGTGATTAGCTTATGTAGCACACTCAACTTCGCCAGATCTTCATCTTCCGTTGGTGCTAACCTCACTCGCTCGGTGGTTTCCTCGATTAGACTCGCATGGGGATGTGGACACCAGGGGGGTCTTAGTAGCTTCCATATCACTCCCAAGTTCGTGGTTAACAAGCCATTTCCACCGCCCATGTTCACTTCAACTCTCTTGTTTGAGCGCGGTATGCTTATCACCTCTGGTGTTTTCTCAAGAATCAGGCCCAGGCTCGGCCCCTCTTTCTCCACCGCGTCTATCTCCATTATTTTTTCTGTCCAAAACTTCAGTAGCTCCGCTACCTCATGGTTTCTGTGGGCTCCTCCAGCTTCCGAGTCTAAGAAGGGATTGTAGGCCATTCCCATCACTCCAGACACATGTTGGTATTCCCCCTTCTCACTGAGTCTCGAGTACTGTTCTGACGAGGCCAGGTTACGGTGAACATCATGTTCTTCCTCGAACTTCTTATTAGAGAACCTCCGTACCTCGTCCAGCTTTCGATGGTTCTCTAAGGATAGTCTGGAACCATCTTCTTTCTCTATTCCTGTACTCTGATATACGTTCAAGATGATCGTTGAGACTCTTCTCTCCATGGTTTTACTTCCACTTGCTCTCTGGTGGCATGCCAGGATGGTGCTATCAGACATCATTGACATTGTCCATCTCAAGAAACATGTGGCATCTTTTCTTCTAGCCAGGCTCAAGCCTGAATTGTCCCTGGCCACGTGTTGCATCAGTGCCTGATACACCTCTAGCTTCTTGCTTCCCAACTTCAGCCTGTCATACGAGGTCAATGTCTCCAACTCTATTCCCACCAGACTCCAGGTGAACATTAATTGTCCCGCAGTTCTAACGAAGGGATTCGCCATTAGTGGCGGTGCTGATGAGGATGTCCTCATCGCCTCTTCAAAATGATCCTTCAACAAACTCTGCCAGGACCTCTTCAGATGACTTGCCATCTCTATCTTATTAACCTCGGCTTTTTGCTGGGTGGCCCAATTGCGTCGCCTGCGAGCTATTCCACTGTCCAACTTCTTCAAGCAGTCCTCCATTTCCTTCAATGTTTCGAGGGCCACCCACCACGTCCGGGAAGTGTTCCTCGTCTTGTTCCTCTCCAATGGATCACTCGTCACTTGTTTGCCCATGTCCTGATGTGCCTTCGAGATCCATTCTTTGCCGATCTCCACTTGCCCTACCTGTCCGTTCGTTGAACCTCTCTTCACGTTTACCTTCTGAGGCTTGAATTCTTCTTCTGACGTCGAACTGGTGGAAACCTCTATTTCCTTTTCTACTTCAAGTGGTTTCCTGAGCTCCGAGCTGTTCTTGTATGCCGCCGTCTTGCATCGGGCCAAAACGATGGGCGCCGTCTCTCTCAAGTTTCCTTCCGAAACAGCATCCACTGAAGGACTACCCCATCCTTCCACTTCTCTCTTCCTCTTGCGAGTCTTCACATCTCTGCTCGAGGGTGTTGTGGCTATCATCATTGATTCGACCTCTCCATCCACTCCTTCCAACTCTTGCCTCCCCCCTGCTCGAGCCTTAAGGATATTAGTACTTTTAATCATATTACTAGTCCCAATCTTATCCCTTTTTATATCATCAACCATTTTATCCACAGTTTTTTGTTTCAGAGTAGAGCTGTCCTCACATTTCTCTTTTCTAGTCTTCGATCGTGCGTTCCTCAGCTCCACTAGCTTGTTCAGCAGCTCTTTTCTTGCTTTCTCATCCAGGCCCGTTCCTATCAGGAGCGGTTCCCCGAATCTCACTACTGCGTCCCACAGTTCCTTCTTGAACTTGTCCAGCGTCGTCTCGCTGCCCACTTCTCGATTGAATTCCCCCAGGAATTCCTGCCAAGCGTCATCCTCGAGAGATCCCAAGAATATGTCCCTGTTCCCTTCGAACGTGTTCTTCTCCCTTTCCTCCAAGCTCAAGAGTAACATCCCCATATTGAAGGTATCACCTGCCAATGGCAACTCTAGGT